ATATATATATATCTTACAAAGCAGCACCAACCTCAATCAGTCGACAGCCGACCCGTAGTCGGAGATCAAAAACCACGTAGCTCTTTCAGCGTTATTTCTAGTCCTTCCTCGACCGGGCACCTTGTCTGAACTCGTGAGAGCTGTAATTTTGCACATTGACTTTTCTCGCACTAACAAAGCTTCGATGTACCAAGAATAAAATCACATAAAATGTGCTTCAGAAGAGATTGGTCATACGTTGAGTAATAAACTCATTTGCATGTTCAGATAGGGTTAGCTTAAGACGCTTGATTATGCTACTGTTCAACGTATTCTGCTGTACAATAGCCCCTTCATTACTGTAGCATCATTTGTCTTGACGTGAGACTGTGGTAGAATGACTCCCATCGACTTTGTAAGTAATATATTAGTGTTGGTCACGTATTACCGTGGAAGTTTTAGTGCAAACATGACTAACTAATTATACGAGACTTGTTCGCGCGTGTAAATTCACATTGTGCAGTATTGATGAATTCCGTTCGGCGACTCCGTATCGATTTGGCGGACGTAAAATTCAGGTCGATTGATATTCGGCGCACCGACTACAAGTCTGTGTATTCATATTTCAAACCCGATAGTTGAAAATCTTCACCATCCTGGATCGAGTTGCTTTTGATTCCGGCCTTACAGGAAGGTGAAATTAACTTTTTTCATTTTCTTTCCCTCTAGCTAAGTACCGTTCTACCACATTTTCCTGATTTGCTTTCTCTTTCCCTANTTTCCCTAGCTTCACCTGGTCCTCAAGGTTCCTGAACTCCCCGAGGGAAATTTGGATGCCTATCGACAGGCAATAGTACAAAATCAACACTTGGCCGAGTTGGCTGTGGTAAGTTATTTCTGAGCCATGCTGATGTGAAACACCACTTGTTTGTGCGGTTTGTGAAAAGCCAACTCCTTTGCTTGCGTTTAACCCTGGGACAACGGAAAGTCACCACTTTAATACGCCTGACTGTAACTGACTGCAACACATTTTAGCACCTAACTGACGATGTTATGTGCGAAACACCAGGCGTTTTACTTAGTTTTGTAGAAGATTTTAGCCTCTCTTAAAATACACCGAAAGATCCAATCAACAACTGAACTGTTTGTAGCAGTCTGGGTTAGACCAAACCTATAAGCAGATATTCATGCCGGAAGTTTTCAAGTTTCCAATTTATTATACAAAGAACTGTCGGGAAATGTTGAAAATACATGTACTTAATGGTTAAGAATGGGGCGACGTGGAGAGCTTGAGATGCTTGAAATCTGTGCTCATGTTCATGTAGTAAACCGGAAGTCGGATTTATGTAGCGACCATGAAATCTAATGACAATGCACGATGTAGTTGGCAGTCGTGTACAAATCCGTCGAACTCCGCAGATCGCGTGCAAAGTTCACACACTCAGGATGTGCTACATTAGTGTTGCACGTATATTTGTTGAAGACCACTGTCTGTCTGGTCAAACTGCCAACAACGGAGGTCAGCCAAGAACTTTCTTATAAGCTATACACGTTCCGTAGGCATTCTATATATATATATA